CCCCGGGTCGTCACTGGAGCCGCCCCCCGGTAACGGATCCCGTGCTGTCCGCAGGCTGCAGACTGCGCCGCGACCGACGACTCCGCTTTGATCCGCTCCTACGACCGAGCCGTCCGCTCCTATCAGGTGAGGCCCTCAGGGAGCCTGGCTTTGCTGGCCCGCTCTGGGTGTCCCTCCCCCTCCACGTCTGATACTCCCCCAGCCCTGCGGGGAAGGGTTGGTCCTTCCAGCCCAACATCCCCCCGCCCAACCTCCCTATCCCTCTCTCCTCTCCAACGTTGCAGGACGCCCTACGAGCTGGGGAAAAGGACCAGGCATCTGAGAGGTCTGAGCCCTCAGCCTCCAGCGGGGCGGAGAGCGAGGGCGATGCAGAGGAGGAGGAGAAACAGGAGGAAAGCTCCAAGGTGAGTGCAGAGCAGAAAGAGGCATGAATCTGCCGTAGGACCAGCCCATCCTACTCCCATTGGCTCCCACAGGACACGAGAAACCAGTGGCATCACCTAGCAAACTCAGCCCCAGGCTTGGTTTCTGTCCCTTTAAGAGGAGGCTTTCCCCATGGCTCCTCCCCCCCATGTTGGGGGCGGGGCTCTGTTATGCCTTGCCCCAGGGGCTGGAATGGAGAGTGAGAAGAGGAGCAGGGTGAGGAGGTGGCTGTGGGGAGGCCACGGGGCCTAGCGCTGGGGTGCGGGCCGAGTGTGCAAATCCTGCACTAGCGTGTGCATTCTCATGCTGAGCTGGGCTGTGTGGTGCCCCAGCCCCGAGCCCCCGTCCCTGTGTCTCCCCACAGTGGAAAGTGGGTGACGCCTGCTGTGCCGTCTGGTCCGAAGACGGGCTGTTGTACCCGGCTCACGTCGTGTCCCTGAGCAAGGAGGGGGGCAGCTGCACGGTGGAATACGAGCACTACGGCAACCGGGAGGAGCAGCGGCTGGCGGGCCCGCTCCCCCCCCGCGCGCGGTGAGACCCTGCAGGGTGGGGGCTGCATGGAGCTGCCTGGCAGGGGGGGAAGCACTGGTAGGGTTAGTCATGCCAGCTCAGAGGGACCTGGCATTTCACCCACCCTCTGGGAGACTCATCTGCTCTCAGCTTCATCCATCTCAATGGGAGGCAGTGGGGTGCAGTGGTTAGAGCATGAGATAAGGAGCCGGGGACTGTTCCCGGAGCAAGGGGGGGAAGTGTGGCTGAATGGTTAGAGCAGGGGGAGAGCGTCAGGACCCCTGGGTTCTGTTCCCAGCGGGGGAGGAGGCGCAGGGCTCGGGTCTGGCTCCGAGGCTCAGCATCGCTCTGAGGGCAGGGCCCAGCGGGGCTGGGGCCGGGACCGTGAGGCAGACTCGC